TCCACCCCCCATTCTGGCACACCCCTTACACGCTTCGTGGCCCCATAGGGAGCTCCACCGAAGGCCCCAGTGGCTGCGCCCGCATGCGGTTCCACACACCATTCTGGCACACCCCTCACACGTTTCGTGGCCCCATAGGGATCTCCACCGAAGCCCCCAGTGTCTGCGCCCGCATGCGGTTCCACCCCCCATTCTGGCACGCCCCTCGCACGTTTCGCGGCCCCATAGGGAGCCCCACCGAAGGCCCCAGTGGCTGCGCCCGCATGCGGTTCCACCCCCCATTTGGCACACCCCTCACACGTTTCGTGGCCCCATAGGGAGCTCCACCGAAGGCCCCAGTGGCTGCGCCCGCATGCGGTTCCACCCCCCATTCTGGCACACCCCTCACACGTTTCGTGGCCCCATAGGGAGCTCCACCGAAGGCCCCAGTGGCTGCGCCCGCATGCGGTTCCACCCCCATTCTGGCACACCCCTCACACGTTTCGTGGCCCCATAGGGAGCTCCACCGAAGGCCCCAGTGGCTGCGCCCGCATGCGGTTCCACCCCCCATTCTGGCACACCCCTCACACGTTTCGTGGCCCCATAGGGAGCTCCACCGAAGGCCCCAGTGGCTGCGCCCGCATGCGGTTCCACCCCCCATTCTGGCACACCCCTCACACGTTTCGTGGCCCCATAGGGAGCTCCACCGAACGCTCCAGTGGCTGCGCTCGCATGCGGTTCCACCCCCCATTTCGGCACACCCCTCACACGCTTCGTGGGTGGCTCCATGGGGAGCTCCACCGAACGCCCCAGTGGCTGCGCTCGCATGTGGTTCCCCCCCCATTTCGGCACACCCCTCACACGGTTCGTGGCCCCATAGAGAGCTCCACCGAAGGCCCCAGTGGCTGCGCTCGCATGCGGTTCCACCCCCCTTTTCGGCACGCCCTTCACACGTCCCGTGGCCCCATAGGGAGCTCCACCGAACGCCGCAGTGGCTGCGCTCGCATGCGGTTCCACCCCCCATTTCGGCACACCCCTCACACGTTTCGTGGCTCCATAGGGAGCTCCACCGAAGGCCCCAGTGGCTGCGCTGGCATGCGGTTCCACACCCCATTCTGGCACACCCCTCGCACGTTTCGTGGCCCCATAGGGGGCTCCACCAAAGGTCCCAGTGGCACTGCCCGCTTGCGTCCGCCACCACCCAGCACAGCCCTTGTTCCCTGCGCTTCACCCACCCAGAACAGCGCTTCGTAGCCCTATAGGGAGCTCCACCAAAGGTCCCAGCGGCACCGCCCGCATGCGTCCGCCACCACCCTGCGCAGCCCTTGCTCCCTGCCTGCGTTTCACCCACCCAGTACAGCGTTTCGTGGCCCCATAGGGAGCTCCACCGAAGGTCCCAGTGGCACCGCTCGCATGCGTCCGCCACCACGCAGCACAGCCCTTGCTGACCGCGTCTCACCCACCCAGTACAGCGTTTCGTGGCCCCATAGGGAGCTCCACCGAAGGTCCCAGTGGCACCGCCCGCATGCGTCCGCCACCACCCAGCACAATTGCGGCATTCACAACTGCATATGGTTGGGTCCTTCGCCAGGCTAATTTTTATGTGCGCGGGTATGTGTGAATGGGTGTGCATGTGTGTGAAATGTGCATATGTGAGTGTGAATGTGAGTGCACGCGTGGGTGCGAATAGTTGTGGATGTGTGTGTGTGTGTGTGATTGTGTGTGTGACTGTGTATGCATGCGTGTGAATGTGTGTGTGTGCGTGTAAGTGTGAGTGTGAGTGTGATTGTAGGGGTGTGAGTGTGAGTGTGAGTGTGTGTGTGTGAATGCGTGTGCATGCGTGCGAATGTGTGTGCATTGAGTGTGGGTGTGAGTGTGTGTGTGAGTGCGTGTGTGTGAACGTGTGTGCATGTGTATGATTGTGTGTGAGTGTGAGTGTGAGCGTGTGTGTGTGTGTGTGAATGTGAGTGTGAGTGTGTGGGTGTGTATGTGTGTGCGCACATGTGTTTGAATATGTTCATGTGCTTCAATGTGTGTACATGTGCGTGGGTGTGAGTGTGAGTGTGTGTGTGTGAGAGGTTGTGTTTGTGTGAACGTGTGTGTGTGAGTGTGTATGCGTTCATCTATGTGCAAGTGCGTGTGAGTGTGAATGTGTGTGCATGTATGTAAATGTGCGTTTGTGAGTGTGAGTGTGAGTGCACGCGTGGGTGCGAATATTTGTGGATGTGTGTGTGTGATTGTGTGTGTGACTGTGTATGCATGCGTGTGAATGTGTGTGTGCGTGTAAGTGTGAGTGTGAGTGTGATTGTAGGGGTGTGAGTGTGAGTGTGAGTGTGTGTGTGAATGCGTGTGCATGCGTGCGAATATGTGTGCATGGAGTGTGGGTGTGTGTGTGTGAGTGCGTGTGTGTGAACGTGTGTGCATGTGTATGATTGTGTGTGAGTGTGAGTGTGAGCGTGTGTGTGTGTGTGTGAATGTGAGTGTGAGTGTGTGGGTGTGTATGTTGTGCGCACATGTGTTTGAATGTGCTTATGTGCTTCAATGTGTGCACATGTGCGTGGGTGTGAGTGTGAGTGTGTTTGTGAGAGGTTGTGTTTGTGTGAACGTGTGTGTGTGTGAGTGTGTATGCGTTCATCTATGTGCAAGTGCGTGTGAGTGTGAATGTGTGTGCATGTATGTAAATGTGCGTTTGTGAGTGTGAGTGTGAGTGGAAGTGTGTGTGTGAGTGTGTGAATGTGTGTGCATGTCTGTGAATGAGTGTGTGAGTGTGAATGTGAGTGTGAGTGTGTGTGTGGGCGTACGTGTTAGTGCGTGTGTGTGTGAACGTGTGTGTGAATGTGTGTGAATGAACGTGCACGTGTGTGAATGTGTGTGAATGTGAGTGTGAGTGTAAGTGTGTGCGAAAGTGTGTGTGTGTGTGTGAATGTGCGCGCATGTGTGTGAATGCGTGTGCGCGAGCCTGAGTGTGAGTGTGTGTGTGTGTTAGTGTGTGTGAATGTGTGTGCATGCGTGTGAAAAAAATTAATGTATACGCATGTGTGTGAATGTGTGTGTGAGTGCGAGTGTGAGTGTGAGTGTGTGTGTGTGAGAGAGGTTGTGTGTGAGTGTGAGTGTGACTGTGTGCGCGTGTGCGTGTGCAAGTCTGAATGTGAGTGTGAGTGCGTGTGTGTGTCTGTGTGTGTGAGAGTGAGTGTGTGTGTGTGGATGCGTGTGCATGTGTAACTGTGTTTTAATGTGTGCATGTGTGTGAGTGTGTGTGTGTGGGTGGAAGTGTGACTGTGAGTGCGTGTGTGACAGAGTGTGTGTGCGTGTGTGAATGTGTGTGAATGTGTGTGAACGTATGCGGACATGTGTGCATGTGTGTGAACGTGCGTGTGGTAATGTGAGTGTGAGCGTGAGTGTGTGCGTGTGTGGGTGAGAGTGTAAGTGTGAGTGTGTGTGTGTGTGTGCGTGTGAGCGTGTGCGTGTGAGTGTTTGTGTGTGTGCGTGCGTGTGTATGTGTGTGCGTGTGTGTGTGTGTGCGTGTGTGTGTGTGTGCGTGTGTGTGTGTGTGCGTGTGTGTGTGTGTGCGTGTGTGTGAATGCGCGTGCATGTGTGTAAATGTGTGTGAGTGTGAGTGTGCGTGTGAGTGTGTGTGTGTGAGTGTGTGTGTGTGCGGGCGGGCGCGTGTGTGAGTGTGTGTGTGTTCGTGTGTGTGAATGTGTGTGAATGTGTGAATGTGTGTGAGTGCGAGTTTGAGTGGGAGTGTGAGTGCGAGTGTGAGTGTGAGCGTGACTGTGTGAGTGTGAGCGTCAGAGTGAGAAGAGTGTGTGTGAGTATGTGTGTGTGTGTGCCGCTGCCCGCGATCTTCGGTCGGAGATCGGTCCACCTGCTGCCTGCGGAGACCCCAAAGTGCCCACCGAGAGCCACACGAGGGCCCCGAGGCAGCCCGGGACGGCCCCAAGAAAGCCCCAGCTGGCTCAACAGGGCCTCCAGAGGAACCCAAAAAGGCCAACGAGGGCCCCTAGACCGCCCAACCTAGAGACACCCTGGTCCGCCAAGGGGGCCCCAAGAAGGCCACAAGACGGATCAGAATGGCGTCAAGGAACCCGCAAGAAGGCCAAGAAAGCCCCAAGATGGTCGAAATAAGACCCATGGGAGCTCATCAAGAAATCGAGACGAGAGGTGTCACGTGTGACGGCCGTCCTAACAATGAGATCAGGGCTGCCACACAGAATGCTTCGCTGGCACGCTGGCGGATTTGCCGCAAGCAACTGGATATCATCAAAAATATGCCACTGCAACCGAAGACACGGAAGGACCCTTGCCGCTCACTCCCAGATCAGCGTCCACAAGACCCACATGATGGGTACAACCTGGTGGAGGAATCATAACGTCGTTGTGGTCGTCCTCTCCCAGCAGGCCTCCGACTGCAAAACCTGCCCGTCCCAAATGTTTCACGTAAACGTTCAAGTAGCTGATGCCACTTTGCGTGTGTCCTTGAACAACCTTCAGCTCAACCTTCCCAAAAGCAACCCATTCTGGAGTCTCGACTGCACGTGTCGACACGGCGTAACGATACCCTCCAGCTCGCCTTGCCTCTGCGAAAGACCCCGTAACATTGACACCGACGAAGTACATGTCCGCGCAAGAGCTACCCATTCGGCGCGCATCAGCCTGCACTCGAAGCAATGCCTCGTCAGGGCGCACTCCTCGAGGGATGTTAATCAACACATGCTTGCCTGGCTGCATTAAATCGAACCGCTCACCGTGAACGTTCTGCAGGTGGGGGTCGCCAGTGGCAGCCGCTCCGCCGGCTCCGCCCGCCATGGCAGCCCCCGGAGGAAACGTCGGATGCGGCGTCGGCCAACCGACAGGATACGTTGGGCTGGGCGTCGGGCTCGGCGTTGGGTAAGGCGTTGGGAAAACCGTCGGGTAGGGCGTCGGGAAGGGCGTCGGGAAGGGCGTCGGGTAGGGCGTCGGGAAGGCCGTCGGGAAGGGCGTCGGAGAGGGCGTTGGGGAAGCCGCGGTAGTAGCCGATCCTGCGAAAAGCCATGCTTGGTGTTGGAAGAGCTGCACGCCAGACGACCCAGCGCCGTGTATGAAGTATTCCCCGAAAGGGGCATTGACATTGTTGGGCCAATTCTGCGTCTTCAGCCCGATCCCAATAGGAGAGTCGGCGTCGCTGGTATCATATGGCTGGCAGCTCTGGTCAGGGAGGTTCACGCAGTACCCGATGCGGGCCCAGTTGTTGTCATTGCACTGGGTGTTGATCCCTGGCCGCTGCATATTGCAATTGCCGCCTCCGTTCCCGTTCCAATAGTCGTCGTACCAGGTCGGGGTCCCCGGCGGCAAAAACAGATCTGTCCAGGCCTGCTTCGCTGCGTCGGCGGCTCCAGCGCCATAACCCAGATTTTCGCTGCGGATGAATCCCGAGCTGAAGAGAGCGCTTGCGCTGGTGTACGTCGCGCCCAGCTCGTACGTGTAGCAGTTGTCCAGCGTCTTGTAGCACAACGTCAGGGCGGAGATCGGGTCTGTGTTGAATGCCGACATCTTGACGTCCTCGTCGTCAGAGTCGCTGACCGAAGCGCCGCCAGCTTCGTTCAACACAGAAGTGTCGGTCCAATAGCTTGCGTCATACTGGAAGGTATTGGAGCCAGCCCTCAGCTTCATCAGCAGCGTCGGCGCCGAACTTGGCGATGCAACACAATCGACGGTCGTATCGAGTGTCGCATAATCAGTGTCTGTAATCGTTTTCAAAGTTGTCCATGTGACCGCATCGTTTGAGCCTTCCATGTAGGCCGTCCCACTCGCGCTGTGATCACCTCTCCAAAACCAAATCTTGACCTGATCGACTTGTGTCGGCACTCCGAAGTCGTACGCCAACCACCCAGCCCCTCGGGGATAACCATCACCGGCTTCATTGCAATATCCACTGCCATACATTGCATAATTGCTTTGATCGAAAGCTTTCTCGGGGCTCCAATCCGAGTAGAATCCGGAAGTAGCAAAAGCGCACGGTGCACTGCCGCAGTGAGTTGCAGGTGTTGAGAGCACGCTACCACCGTACAAGTACTGCATCTCATTGATGCACAGATGATGCGGGTTTGCACTCGCGACTGGGACATAGTACCTGTAGTAGCGCCACGCACCGCATGCCGCCTCGACTGCTACGGTATGCGATCCAGTTGCTGTGAAAGTATGAATTTGGTAGCCATTGCTCGTGGTGACTGTGCCACCTTGGAGCAACGGGATGGAACTCAGGTACTTGATGATCACGATGCCAGACCCTCCGTTGCCAGCCAAGGAAGACTCAGGATCCGTGCCGCCGCCACCACCGCCAGTGTTTGCCTGCCCATCTTCGCCATTGAAGTAAGCGCCGCCACCACCGCCGTAACTGCTTCCATCGCCGCCGCCCCCTAGGCCGCCGGCCCCTCCTGGATAAGTGGTGCAACCGCAGTTTGCGTTGACGCCACCGCCACCGCCTCCGCCGTAATACGTAGAGGTGCCTGAAATCGACGACGCCACTCCAACGCCACCATCTCCTCCGTAATGCTGCTGGGGCGCGTCGCTCCCAACGCCGCCCGCACCGCCGCCGCCACCGCCTGCGCCGTACCCCCCCCTGTCGCTGCGCCCACCCCGGTAGCCCTGTCCCGCGACCCCAGCCGCGTAGGCAACACTCGGCAGATCGTAGGCGCCTCCACCGCCTGAGCCTCCGCTGGAGGCAGTCCTGGAACTGCCCCCCGCACCCTTGCCACCGCCATATGCCACCAGAGAGCCGATCGAAGAATCTCCTCCGTTCGTCGCCTCCGCAGTGGTGCCGCTGCCCCCCGAACCTCCGAGACCGCCGGTGCCAACCGTGATGACTTCGTCGACAGACATGACCAGACCCGTCCCTTGGAGCACACCGCCGCCGCCGCCGCCTCCGGAAGCGCCGCCACCGCCGCCGCCGACAATCAGGTATTCCACTGTCAGGGTCGACTGCGCCGCCTGCTTCTCCCAGGTGGCAGCTGCGTCAGTGGCGGTCGCCGCGCGAGGCTCGGCCCTGTCGAGGTGCAAGGCTCCTGCGCAGCCTAGCAAGATGAACAGCGCCGGTGTGTCCGACGGCTTCATGGCACCGAGGAGGGTGCTGAGAGATGCTGAAGCACGAATGTGAAGGTGTGTTACAAAATGCTTGAACCATACATACATGGATAGGGACACAATAAACGGCCATCCCACTACAAAGATCACGACACTCTGGGCACCACTGGGCCCTTGATAGATCCCCTGGCAAACCCGCTCGTGGAAGGCGCAAACGCCATGCCTGCCACATCGCGATGATCACTGGGCAAAAAGAGTGGCTCTGCGAGCGAGTGACTTGTGGTGCGCGGTTTCAGGGGGGCGCGGGCGCATCACCCAAGAATGCCCCAAAAGGACACCCTAGAATGCCGCCAGAATGGCTGAAGTCACGGATCCCCCTTCCGCTCTTGACTGTAGCATATAATATGAAATACGCAAGGCTGTAACATGTAATACGTAAAAACTTGATACATTATGTGTACTGTGTGGCTCACTCGCCTTTTCGGGCTCCAGGCATACAAGACGTCTGATACCCACAAGACGGTCAAAGATGCCCTCAATAAAGCCATCCGTCTATCCAGACAGCCAGCCAACCAACCGAGTTGTCAGCCTGGCAACTAATCAGAAAAAGCAACTGATCAACCCCATCGACCCAGCCATGCAAGCAATCAGAAGGGTGCCCGGCGGCAGAAAACAAAGCCCTTACGATTTTGTGAATCAGTGCGGGTATTGGTAGGAATGGGTCTTAGTTAATTGTGCGTGCGTCTGCCTGTGAGCGCTTGCTTGGGTATGGAGGGGTCTGAACTGACCGAGTCTAGGTGTGAGTGGGCTTGACTGTGAACGGATCCGAGCATGGGCATGAGTGAAGGGATCCTGGGGGGTCCTGGGGCTTCCCAGGGGGTTCTGAAGCCTTTAGGGGGGTCCCGGGGCCCCCCTGGGCTTCCTGGAGCCTGCAGCCTCCTGGAGTGTTCTCAAGCCTCCCGGGGCTTCCGGGAACCTCCCGATGCAACTCTCCTGGTCGACCCTCCATGGCATGGTGTGATGTTTATGGGACTCTGAAAAGAATCTCGTCTCTCCCCCAAGAGCGGCAACTGTATTTTTCTGCTCCGGAACAGAAACTCCGTTTGTAGCATGGCATTGTCACGAGTAATCATGCACGGCAAGCGTGATCCGCGGCAATGACCCCTGGCATGCTGAGGCGTGGTAGAACGCCAAGCGCTGCCTGGCAGGGCATCTGTAGTCTTCTGAAGCACTTCCTTTCATCACGTCCAGTTGCGTGCATCGCCACCCCCACCTTCCCGAGGCTCCGTGGGCCGCCCAGACTCCTCCCTTGGCGCTCACCAAAGCTTTCCGAGGCTTCCACGGCAGCGGGGGAAGCCCGAAGCCGCCAACATGACCCAACAGTGTCTCAAGAGGCCCCCAACAGCTGCCAAAAAACGCTGCATGCACCTGAATAAGCCACCAAGATGCTCCCAGACCCCCCCGAGGCGCTCTCGAGAAGGGGGGCAACACACACACAGAGGCACACATGCACACATATTTGTGTGGATGTATGTATGTAGGTGTGTATATATATGTATATACATATACATATACATATATAGTTATGTATATGTATATATACATATACATATACATATACATATATATGTATATATATATATATATGTATGTATGTGTACATGTATATATGTATATATACGGATGTATATATATACCCATGTATGACCATATGTATCTTCTTTTATACGCACACGTATGTATATAAATGTGGACGCCCCCCGCCCCAACACCCCCAAACCACCCCAAAACAAACAAACCGCCAAATGATCGTGTTATCCTCATCCTTCTCCGTCTCCTCCTCGTTATCCCGTCCTCCTCCTTCTCAGAAACTGAAAGCGACTCTTTTGAGCTCGTTTGAGGAGGGGTCACGTCTCTGAGCGTAGGGGCCTGAAATCGCTGTGTTGTTTCAGTTTTTTACAAAAAATATGTATATTTGTTTCCTGGTGTTATTTTTTTTCTGATTTCTGGCAGAGACTACGCAAGTTGGCTAGTCTCTCCCAGGAACCCGAAAAACCAGGAAAAAAAACAGAAAAACCTGAAAACACACAGCGTGTTCAGTCCCTCTACCTTCTCCGTCTCCTCCTCGTTATCCCGTCCTCCTCCTTCTCAGAAACTGAAAACGACTCTCTTGGGCTCGTTTGAGGGGTCACGTCTCTGAGCGTAGGGGCCTGAAAACGCTGTGTTGTTTTTCAGGTGTTTCTGGCTTTTCTGATTTCTGGCAGAGACTACGCAAGTTGGCTAGTCTCTCCCAAGAATCCGAAAAAAAACAGAAAAACCAAAAAAAAAACATGAAAAGCACAGCGTGTTCAGTCCCTCTACGCTAAGGGAGGAGGAATGCGAAAGGATACAAGAGTGACGCGAATGAGCGGAGGCCGAACCGTGTGAGGGTGTGCCGAGATTGACTTGGGGCCTTCGGTAGAGGCTCATCTGCGTGGTCACGGAACGTTTGAGGGGTGCGCCGAAGAAATTCCCCACGCTTCCCCTTCCATTCCAAACAACAGCATGGGTGAATGCAAGTGTTGCCTTTTGTGCAAAATCGTAACGTCACGACAGATCAAAAACAATATGCGTATCCGCGCACATCTCGCTCGGGCACCCCCGGCACGTTTGCCCAGCGTCTCGCAGCGCGGACAGCATTCCAGAGATAAGCTTCACGGTTCATATGTGGCAAGCAAAAGGGCTGCGCATCGGCGTGCGCATCAGCTGCAGCAGATGCTACTGCGCTCGGTTCAGTCAGAGGCCAAACCCTCGCCCACTTGCGGGAAGGACCTCTCGTCGCCTGAAGCGGCGGCCGCGCCCTCGGCCATCGCCGCGGCGATATCCTGCGAGGCGACGTCGGCGGCCGGCGGGCGCGCTGGGGACAACAGGTCGATGCTCGAGCCGTGGGCCTCCCTCCCGCGCTCGATGATACTCTCCTTCATCGCCTGCATGGCCCTCTCGCGCTCCTCCTCGTCCATGGTGGACACGTCGGGGCAAGCCAGGCGCTCGGCGCCGCGCTTAAGCGGCTGCGGCGAGGAGATGTCGCTCACGTGGCCGTGAAAGGCCACCGCGCGATCGCAGAGGCATTGCTAAACGGCGCGGCAGACATTCAGCTGCTCATCGACATCGCGCGTATCTTCGCGAACGGGGCGCGAGGCGCTGGTCGGCTGACCAGCGGCCGCTCGCGGGAACCATTCGCTCCCCTGCCTGTCGCTCGGCGGCTGCGTGGCCACCTCTGGGAAGTTGCATCTCGTGGGCGCGTCCTGGTCGAAGAGCGTTGGGCCACGGACCGTCGATGACTGCCCGAGCTCCTCGCCCCGCGCTAACTTCTTCATGGCGGCCACGGCCCACCTCATGTGTTGGTCGTAGTCGGATGGAACGCGAGTCTGGTCTTTCTTGAATGCCGTGAGGATGTCGCACGTCTCGGGCGTGAAGAGATCTGGTTTCGCGGGCACTGGCCGCGGAAAGCGAGGGGCTGGCTCCTTCGTCGTGGATGCCGCCCGAAAGTACACCCGGTTCGGCGAGAGGAGCACGACGTTGGACCTCGCCATGTACGCCTCCACGTCCGCCATCTTGTAGCTGCACTGCTTTTCGCAGATGAAACTGCAGCCGATGATCTGGATGAAGTCACTGAATGCTACCTCTTCCTGCTCCCTGCTGACGGACTCGGCCGTCGCCTCGAACTCCTCGTTATACGGATTGACGCAGATCTGGCGGGACTGGTTCTGCTCGAAAGAGGCGCCGCCCCACCTGTGCAGCGCGCGGAAAACTACAAAACACAACCAAAGCCCCTGGTAAACTTATTAACGTAATTTGGATGCGTTCAAACAATTTTGTTTCCAAGAAATGTATTTCCCCGCGCGCCGCCGCTTCGCCCAAAGCAGCGCGTCTTCCTCGGCGGGGTCGAGGAAAGCCTTGATCTCGTCGGGGCCCCACTTGGCCAGCGCGGTATCGTCTGCGATGGCGGGCTTGATTATGGTCCCAGGCTCCAATCGCAGGAAGCCGATCTTCTTCGCAGCGATGACGATCGGGCGGAGGTCAGCGCGGCAGTGCTTCTCAATCTGGTAAGCAGAAATAGCGAAGCCGATCGTTTTGGATGCTGTGGATTTGCCGACCCTGGTCTTTCCGATCCACATGGTCCCATGGACGTCGGGGCCCCTAAGGATGGGGGCGACGATGCGGTCGAACAGGAACGGGCCAATCCGCTTGAGAGTGACCGCCCAGCGCTCGAGTGTCCTCGCGCCGAC